GTTATAAGAAAAATCAAATTATGGTGGATGTCTACTCTTCCTCCATGATCTTCTTCTATGCTTAATGACATATTCAATGACATATTTCTATGCTTAATGACATATTCAATGACATATTTTTCTTCACTTTTCATGCCTATATAAAGGCCTTGTAATAGATAGGAAAATACACACAATTGAAGAAGAAAATCTCTTCCTTCTCTCTATCTCCATTTCTTGTTCATGTTTTACTAAATTGCTTTTATTTCATAACAACATGTCTTGTTCATGTTTTACTAAGTTGCTTTTATTTTATAACAGTATGTAATTAGTATAGTATTTATTAGAATATGTAGGGTAATGGGAGAATTTCTTCTTTTCCTTGTACTTTGATTTTTTGGCTATATTTGCCCCAGTATGAAATCTGTTCATCGGGTGCCATTGAGATGGAAATTCAACAATTCTTCAAATCAGTGAAACTAAGATCCTAACCAAGGGCGGATCTAGCGCTATAGATATGGGTTCAATTGAACCTCTATCTTTTGACAAAATCCGGGAATATACTGTGCAAAATTACTGAAATATAATCATATATTAGTGTTTGAACCCATAGATAAAATGAAGCTATGGGTTCAGTGGTAAAATTGATGGGCGAAGTTTTGCTTATTGCAGGGAAAGCTGGAGTTCGAATCTCTATGTCCACAATTTTTATTGCAATTTTAAGAGGTCCGTTTCTTATCCTTAAAAGATAAGGACCCACCTAATTAATTTTATTCTTTAATGTGTTCTTCATTAATTTGTGAGGCTTTTTAATAATTATATAAAAGTTGGTCTTCACAAAGCTTTAAGAGATCAAAACCTTTCACTTTTCAGAAGATTCATCGGCTCCCAAATTTTTAAAGTTAGGGTTTCAAAAGAATCAAAGCAAAGGCTCTTCTTCTTGGACATAAATTGCAATCAATCCTCTTCTTTAGTTTTGCTGGTATGCCTCTATTGCTCTTTCTCAATAATAATACAATAATATTTATTAATTATAAGTTATGATTTTTTGTGTGCTTCAACATTTGAGTTTTAAGGATAAATTTAACTTTTTATATCATATTAATTACTAGTCAATCCTTTCCTAAACTAATATTACTTTTCTTTTATTTTATTTTCTTTTGGACGACTCTCTAAGAATTTGAAATAGAAAGTTCATGAGTACATATGTTATGACAGTTAGGCCTAGGGAATAACTCCATTCTTGTTGTGCTGAAGAAATTAGATATTGTATCGTATTAACTTCAACTTCATAAGTACTTAAATTGTTGATATCTCGATTTGGTTAGATTAAGTTTCAATTACACCTTGAAGTGTAATTTATTTTTTGTGATTTTTAGGATCTTTTTAGTGAGGGTGGATATGATCATGAAATTTTCAAGGCTATTCCAACTCCTTAAAGTTCTGGTTTTGGTTCTGGTTCTAGTCCTCCTACGCCGAGTTCTTCTCCAAGTCCAATTATTCATGACAATATCAATCTTTCGGCAGGATCAAGCAAAGAAAAAATATTGAAAGAGGAAAAACTTATTGAGCGATTCCTTAGTATTGTTCATGTTAAAAAAACAACTTCATTTTCATTAAAAAAAAGCAATCTATGATTTGCTTTTAGATCACTCATTGAGTCCATCTCAAATACGGGGATAAGGTTATGATGGAGCTAGTAACATGCAAGGAGAAATGTTGGAAGTTCTTGAATATTGTTGGGAGTTCTTTTAAGCGTAGGGATATACTACGAGAGGATCAGGCAAAGAAACTAGAGGAGCTATAAGTGCTTGGTGAAGTTCATACAGGAAGTGAACTAAATCAAGAACTTGGACTCCAAAGGCCAGGTGATACCCGATGGGGTTCTCATTTTAAGACGGTGCATAACTTTATTGCGTTATTCACGTCAATCATTAATGTCACGACCCAAACTAACCCCTGTCGTGATGGAGCCTATCGTGGAACTACGCAAGCCGACTCATTTCCAAAACAAACCGATATTTTCATTTCAAAGATAATTTTAATGTTATTTAACACAAAAACCTTCGTAAGGGAGTTCCAATCAAAATAAAAGTGCGAAAGGAAAAGTCCGACATCGGTATGTCACTAGTCATGAGCATCTACTACAATCTATCTAACAATATCAAGGCTAAGTCAGTCTGGAAAATAGCTAAATACAACTAGAGGAAGATAAGAGGGAGAAGAGCAGGGCTGTGATCGCCAGGCAGCTACCTTGTTATCCCCGGGAAAATCTGCAATCAGAACAATCAACAATCGCTACAGTGTCCAGCTACACCTGAATTTGTACATAAGGTGCAGGGAGTAACGTGAGTACGCCAACTCAGTATGTAACAACAATAAATAAAGCCTGAGCAGTAGTGACGAGCAATAAAGCATATAACGTTCATATAAGGAAATCTCAGTAAAATACCACATGCTTTCAAAATCAGGATTTGAAACAAAACATCTCGTTTAAACCCAGTTCCAGTAAAAAAAAATCATTTAAAGATATTTTTCAACAGTTTTCAAACAGAGAAAAAATGCAAAGGTCAGCAAAAATAATGAAATCATAAACAACCCCTCGGGCAAAACATCACTCACATACAGCCCCTCGGGCAAACCTCACAGTCACTCGTGCCACTTGGGCATACCTCACAATCACTCTTGACACTCGGGCATACCTCACAATCACTCATGCCTCCCAGTCACTCAGCACTCGGCACTCGTACTCAGTAGGTACCTGTGCTCACTGGGGGTGTGTACAGACTCCGGAGGGGCTCCTTCAGCCCAAGCGCTATATCAAGCCAAATAATGGCATAATCACTTAGGCCCTCGACCGATATCAAACATGCTGCGGCGTGCAGCCCGATCCCATAAATATCCTCACAAATCAGGCCCTCAGCCTCACTCAGTCATAAAACCTCTTAAGACACTCGGGCATTTCAGTAAAAAATAGGGCATTCGGCCCAAAACAACATTTATATGCATCAAAATAGAGTCATAAAACTGAGTTATGTAGTAAACAAGTATAACCATGACTGAGTATAGATTTTCAATCGAAAACAATGAGAGGATAGTAAGAAAAGGCCTCTAAGGGTCCAAACAACACTGGCACAAGGCCCAAACATGGTATTCAGCCAAATTTACAGAAACTCTTTCGAAAACATATAAGTATCATATAGTTTCAATAAAGTATGCAATTTTACAGTTGCTATGGGACGGACCAAGTCACAATCCCCAATGGTGCACGCTCACACGCCCGTCACCTAGCATGTGCGGCACTAAAAATAGTAGAATGATTCAAAAATCCGGGGTTTCGTACCCTCAGGACTAGATTTACAATCGTTACTTATCTCAAACCGGTCAAATCTCTACCCCGCAATGCTCTTGCCTCTTGACTTGGCCTCCAAATGCTCCAAATCTATTCACAATCAGTACAATACCATCAATATATGCTAATGGAATGAATTCCACAAGAAAAGCTATAAAATTAGATCAAAACCCGAAATTGGCTCAAACCCGGCCCCCGGGCCCACATCTCAAAATCCGCCAAAATTTACAAAACTAGAAAGCTCATTCACTCACGAGTCTAACCATACCAAATTCATTAAAATCCAACATCGTTTGGTCCTTCAAATCTTTAAATTACTTCTCCAAATATCCCAAGCCCTAACCCTTCATTTTCACTAATTACAATGATTAAATAACGGAAAATTACCATATATACAAGTATTAGGGCTCAAGTAACTTACCTCAATGAAACATCCTTGATTCCATATTCAAATCTCTCCCAAAAGCTCCAAAACCGAATAGAAAAATGGTGGAAATGAACCAAAATTCGCGAAGTGCTATCTATACATTATGCCCAGATTTTCGCACCCGCGGCCTATTCCACGCGCCTGCGGGACCACACATGCGGTCGAAAATCCTCGCACCTTCGAGACTCACTTAAACTCTCAGCCTCCGCACCTGCGCCCAGGTCTCGCACCTGTGGGCTCGCAGGTGCGGCCAAATCCTTGGCCTCCCATTTTCTGCATCTACGCCCCAGGTCTCTCAATGCGACAGACTTCTCGCACATGCGCATCCTGCCTAGCCCAGAACTGTCTACACCTGCGAACTCCCCACGCACGCCAACGGCTCTTTCTTCCGCAGGTGCGAATATAGCAGTAGCAGCAGCTTCAGCTGCATTTTCCAACTTCGACAAATACGTTAACTACCCGAAATTACCCTGAGGCCCTCGGGACCTCAATCAAAAATACCAACAAGGCATATATCAACATACTAACTTAGTCGAACCTTCAAATCACTCAAAACAACATCAAATCATCAAATTACCCTCGGATTCAAGCCCAAGAACTTCTAAATTTCTAAATTCGGCAACCGATGCCGAAACCAACCAAACCACGTCCGAATGACCTCAAATTTTGCACACACATCACAAATAACACTACGAACCTACTCCAACTTCCAAAATTCCATTCTGACCCCGATATCTAATTTTTCACTGCCGATCGAAATTGCCAAATTTCCAATTTTGCCAATTCAAGCCTAATTCTACCACGGACCTCCAAATTATATTTCGGACGCACTCCTAAGTCCAAAAATAGCTAACGGAGCTAACGGAACCATTAAAATTCAAATCCGAGATAGTTTATATATAGGTCAACATCCGGTTGACTTTTCCAACTTAAGTTTCTACTTAAGAGACTAAGTGTCTCAATTCACTCTGAAACCACTCTGGTCCCGAACTAACTAACCCGATATAACATAATATAGCTGAATAACATAAAAAAAGTAGAAATGAAAAAAATGGGGCTATAACTCTCGAAACAACCGGTCGGGTCGCTACAATTAATGTACTTGAGTTTCTTGCAAGTGAGGGTGCAAATTATCTTGAGAGATCAGTGGAAAAAGGTCTAGTGAATGACATAAGATCTTTTGAGTTTGTGCATATGATGTATTTGATGTTAAAATTATTAGCAATCACAAATGATTTGAATATGGCTTTGCAAAGAGAAGATCAGGATATTGTAAATTCTATGAAGCTTGTTGGTTTCGCCAAGGGGAAATTGCAAGTGATAAGAGAATCTAAATGGGAATCTTTGATAGATGACACCTCTTCATTTTGTGCCAAGCATGATATTGTGATCCCTGAAATGGATAAGAACTATCATCTTGGAAAGTCAAAACGTAGGAGTTCAAGTGTTACATATTCTCATCATTTGCGTGTCGAAGTTTTTAATACTATTATTGATTTGCAACTTTCGGAGCTTAACAGTCGTTTTGATACGGTGAATAGTAATCTACTTCTTGGTATGGCTAGTTTGAGTCCGGATAATTCTTTTGCAAATTATGATAAAGACAGAATTATGAAACTTGCTACACTTTATCCTCTTGAGTTTAGTGGTTCAAACTTGAAGATCTCAGTTATGAGCTTGACAACTATATTCTCTTTATGAAAGAAGACAATGATTTCTCTAACTTGAAAGGACTTGGAGATCTTTCAGAAACACTAGTTGAAACAGATTTGTACAAGATTTGGAGACTTGTGTTTTTGCTTGTAAAGCTAAGTCTGATATTGCTTGTCACTATTGCAACGGTAGAAAGAGATTTTTCTTCAATGAAGTACATCAAAAATGACTTGCGTAGCAGAATTGGTGATGAATTTTTGAATGACTGTTTAGTTTGTTATATAGAAGATGAAGTATTTCAAAAGTGTATCTAATGATGCGATTATTGATCATTTTCAAAACATGACAACCCATCGGGTACAATTGTAATGGCGATATTTATTGAATATATATTATGTTAGATGGTTCGGTACTTGTTACAAATATATTAAATATCATTGTTCGTATTTCGTTCGGTTATTATTGTATAGTACCGTGAGGTATATCCTAGAGTCTAAATTTTGAACCCATAAAGTTAAATTCCCGGTTCCAACTCTCGCAGAAGGCATTAATCTAGGAAAACTATCGAGTTCCTACAAGAGGTCCAGCTTTAACTTTAAATATGAAAATCTTGAGAAAGCAACAAACTATTTTGATCCATCAA